CCACTCCAGAATACTGAAGAGCAATGATGTCAGTCTGGAGGCTAAGGTACACCTGATCCAGGCCATGGTCTTCGAGATTGTTATGTGTCAGAAAGCTGGACAATGACTAGGAATGACAGAAGGAGAATTGATGTCTTTGAGCTGTGGTGCTGGAGAAGAGTATGTAATATACCATGAACTGTTAGAAGAACAAACAGGTTCATCCTGGAGATGGTTCATCCAGGCTACTCCTTGGAGGCAAGGATTCTGAGGCTCCACTTTGGGCATGTTGCAAGGAGTAACCTAGGAGAGGAACATCATGCTTCGGAGGTTGGAGAGACAAAGCAAGAGAAGAAGACCTTCAAGGAGATGAACTGACTCAGTGACCGGGGTAACGGGGGTAGATGTGTCAGAGACAAGACAGTTGGCTCAGGATAAAGCAGGGTTCCGAGCTGTTGTGTACATCGGGTCACTAAGAGTCATAGGTGACTCGATGGCACATAGCAACAACAACAACAACATGTATAATGCTGGTGAGCTTTATGAGCCCTGGTGGTCTAGTGGCAAGAAGCTGCTGTGTGATCCCAAAGGTGGGTGGAGCAAAATGGGCAATCTCCTGCCACGTGATTAACTGCCTCTGAAAACCCGCTGTAGGGTCAGTTGTGGGTCGGTCCCATCTCTATGGTACACAACAGCAACATATATAATTTACATTTTGGCAGTTACTACCAGAAAAACAAAACACAGAAAAAGTTGATAGAGAAAAAAATAAAAGCACATTAAGGGCTTTGGAGTAATAGCCTGTAAAGTCAGATACAAACTGAAGAGGGCGCCTGTATATTCTTGTGTGATACCAAAGAACCATAAACTCTACCAAACCATAAAATGTAGTAAGGAACAAAAAGATGGATAACACGTAATAAACACATAGCAACAAAATCATCTTATTTGCTACTTGTTTGTTTCCCTGTACAATGGACAATACTTACATATTTTTGCCATAAACTTTTAAAGAGATACTAATTTCCCTAGATATATAGACACTAGTGAATAATACTCTTCAACCCTTAACAACATGTATATAAAAGTTATATATATATATATTACATATGTGTATATATATGTTACATATGTATATAAATATATATGAGATATAGATATTGTTGTTATATATAATATATACTACAAAGGATATAATTTTGTTAAACAAATGAACTACACATGCATATGTATTTGGTATACTGAGTGTTGTGTTGAGACTTGTAAATTTTTGCAACGATGCTTCTGTATTTGTTGCTAAGGGAGCCATACATACATTGCTTTTTTATGTTACAAATAAGGCATATCTCAGCTGGAATATCTCAACAAGGTGTTATCTCAATCATAACTCATATAGAGGTTGCAAAATAACTCATTCTCGACAACTATAAAAACAAAACACAGGGTGAAGCACGCTGCATTTTAGGATCGGTGAGAAGGATAGTTTCCCTGGTTTTCTGAAGTTAATTGAGGACAAGAAAATGAGGACACAAAACAATTGAAGCGGAGATGCGCGGTGAGCCGAGCAAGGGCACAGCTGGCCAGGCGGAGGCTGGAGCTAAGGTGGCAGGAAACCCAGCAGGGCGGTGCAGGGTGAAAGAGGTCAGGTCGGAGAGTCACGCGACCGAAGGGACAGGCAGGACGCAGCGTGGGAGCCCGAGCCATGCCTGGCGGTGACCTTGGCGCACGCAGAGCAAGGTCAGCGCCGGGACGCGCGGGGTGCGGGGCGGGAGCGGGAAGCGCGCGGCCGCGGCGGCGGGGTCCCGCGTACCTTCCCAGGAGAGCGCGCCGCCGGGTTCGCGGCGCAGGAACTTGTACCAGAACGTGTCGACGGGGCCGCGCTCCGCCCC